CTTTTTCTTTTTTCCTGAAATTCTTATAGTTTTTTGTTTCTTTCTTCTTCTTTCTTTCAGAAATTATGATACATGATGCGGTCGGTGGTTGGTTGAGGAGAGAGATATTTAGGGGAAGGGAGAAGACGTTAGTGGAGAAAAGAGAAAAGTCTGTGTCGGACGGAGAGGAGGTTAGTGGAGAAAAGTCTGTTAGGTATAAAAAGTTCGGTGGTTGGTTGTGGAGAGAGTCTGACAGTCTAAAAAAGTCAGTGATTTGTTGAGGAGAGAGATATTTAGGGGAAGGGAGAAGAGGATAGTAGAGAAAAGTCTGTCAAATTAGGATAGGTCTCAAAACTAACTGTCTGAAACGTTTTTTTCCTGTTTTTTGTTCCTTTCTTTTTCTTTTTCTTTTTTTTTCTTTTTTTTTTTTTTTTTTTTTTTTTTTTTTTGGGATAGTTTTTATGTTTGTTTCTTTTGTTCATAAATTCTGATCATTTTTTTTTTTTGTTTGTTTTTTGTTTTTTTTTTTTAAGAAATTATGATAGTTTTTTTTCTGTTTTTAAGAGATATGGTTTTTTAGATAGTTGAGGGGAGAGATATGGCTTCGTCGTTGGGTGAGAGAAGAGATACGGTTTCCTCATAGATATAGTTTTCTGGTTTGTTGAGGAGAGAGATGATTTTCTCGTAGATATAGTTTTCTCGTTCATTGAGGAGAGATATGATTTTCTCGTTCGTTGAGGGAGATATGATTTTCTCGTGTGTTGAGGAGAGAGATGATTTTCTCGTAGATATGGTTTCCTCATTCGTTGAGGAGAGTGGTTTCCTTGTAGATATAGTTTTCTCGTTCGTTGAGGAGAGAAATAGGATTTTCTCATAGATATGGTTTTCTCGTTCGTTGAGAGAGAGATATGGTTTTCTCGTTAATTGAGGGAGAGATAGTTTTGTCTTTCATTGAGGGCAGAGATATGGTTTCGTCGTTCGTTGATGGAGAGAGATATGGTTTCCTCGTAGATATGGTTTTCTCTCGTCCGTTGAGGAGAGAGATATGATTTTCTCGTAGATATAGTTTTCTCATTCGTTGAGGAGAGAAATATGATTACCTCGTAGATATGGTTTTCTCATTCGTTGAGGAGAGAAATATGATTTTCTTGATGATATGGTTTTCTCGTTCATTGAGGAGAGAGATATGATTTTCTCGTAGAGATGGTTTTCTCGTTCGCTGAGGGGAGAAACATGGTTTCGTCGTTCGCTGAGGGGAGGGACATGGTTTCGTCGTTCGCTAAGGAGAGAGATGGTTTTCGCGTTGGTTGAGGGGAGAGATGATTTTCTCGTAGATATGGTTTTCTCGTTCGTTGAGGGGAGAGATAAATATGGTTTCGTCGTTCGCCAAGGGGAGGGACATGGTTTTCTGGTTCGATGAGGGAAAAGATATGGTTTTCTCATTTGTTGAGAGGAGAGATATGGTTTTCTCGTTTGTTGATAGGAGAGATATGGTTTCGTCGTTCGTTGATGGGAGAGATATAGTTTCGTCGTTCGTTAAGGAGAGAAATATGATTTTCTCGTAGATATAGTTTTCTCCTTCATTGAGAAGAGAAATATGATTTTCTCATAGATATGGTTTTCTCGTTCGTTGAGGGAAGAGATATGGTTTCGTCGTTCGTTGAGAAGAGAGTGGTTTCCTCGTAGATATGATTTTCTCGTTCATTGAAAGGAGAGATATGATTTTCTCGTTCATTGAGAGAGAGATATGATTTTCTCATTCGTTGAAAGGAGAGATATGATTTTCTCTTTCGAGGGGAAAGATATTGTTTTCTCGTTCGAGGGGAGAGATAAACTTTTCTCGTTCGAGAGGATTTCTCGTCTGTTGAGGGGAGACATATGGTTTCGTCATTCGTTGAGGGGAAAGATAAATATGGTTTCGTCGTTTGCCAAGGGGAGAGACATGGGTTTCTCGTTCGATGAGGGGAGAGATATGGTTTTCTCATTTGCTGAGGGTAGAGATATGGTTTTCTTGTTTCTTTGATGGGAGAGATATGGTTTCTTCGTTCGTTGATGGGAGAGATATGGTTCCGTAGTTCGTTGAGGAGAGAAATATGATTTTCTCGTAGACATAGTTTGCTCCTTCGTTGAGAAGAGAAATATGATTTTCTCGTAGATATGGTTTTCTCGTTTGTTGAGGAGAGAGATATGGTTTCGTCGTTCGATGAGAAGAGAGTGGTTTCCTCGTAGATATGATTTTCTCGTTCATTGAGAGGAGAGATATGATTTTCTCGTTCGTTGAAAGGAGAGATATGGCTTTCTCTTTCGAGGGGAAGGATATGATTTTCTCGTTCGAGGGGAGAGATAAGCTTTTCTCGTTCGAGGGGAGAGATAGGCTTTTCTCGTTTGTTGAGGGGAGACATATGGTTTCGTCGTTCGTTGAGGGAAAAGATAAATATGGTTTCGTCGTTCGCCGAGGGGAGAGACATGGTTTTCTCGTTTGATGAGGGGAGAGATATGGTTTCTCATTTGTTGAGGGTAGAGATATGGTTTTCTTGTTTCGTTCATGGGAGAGATATGGTTTTGTCGTTCGTTGATGGGAGAGATATGGTTCCGTCGTTCGTTGAGGAGAGAAATATGATTTTCTCGTAGATATAGTTTTCTCCTTCGTTGGGAAGAGAAATATGATTTTCTCATAGATATGGTTTTCTCGTTCGTTGAGGGGAGAGATATGGTTTCGTCGTTCGTTGAGAAGAGAGTGGTTTCCTCGTAGATATGATTTTCTCGTTCATTGAGATGAGAGATATGATTTTCTCGTTCATTGAGAGGAGAGATATGATTTTCTCATTCGTTGAAAGGAGAGGTATGGTTTTCTCTTTCAAGGGGAAAGATATGGTTTTCTCGTTCGAGGGGAGAGATAAGCTTTTCTCGTTCGAGGGGAGAGATATGCTTTTCTCGTTCGTTGAGGGGAGAGATATGCTTTTCTCTTTCGAGGGGAGAGATGTTTTTCTCATTCGAGGGGAGAGATATGCTTTTCTCGTTTGTTGAGGGGAAACATGGTTTCGTCGTTCGTTGAGGGGAGAGATGTGGTTTCGTCATTCGTTGAGGAGAGAAATATGATTTTTCTCGTAGGTATAGTTTCGTCGTTCGTTGAGGAGATAAATATGATTTTCTCGTAGATATAGTTTTCTCGTTCATTGAGATGAGAGGTATGATTTTCTCATTCGTTGAGAGGAGAGATATGATTTTCTCGTTCGTTGAGGGGAGAGATATGGTTTTCTCTTTCGAGGGGAGAGATGTTTTTCTCATTCGAGGGGAGAGATATGCTTTTCTCGTTTGTTGAGGGGAGACATGGTTTCGTCGTTCGTTGAGGGGAGAGATGTGGTTTCGTCATTCGTTGAGGAGAGAAATATGATTTTTCTCGTAGGTATAGTTTCGTCGTTCGTTGAGGAGAGAAATATGATTTTCCTGTAGATATAGTTTTCTCGTTCGCTGAGGAGAGAAATATGATTTTCTCGTAGATATGGTTTTCTCGTTCGTTGAAGGGAGAGATATGGTTTCGTCGTTCGTTGAGGAGAGAGTGGTTTCTTCGTAGATATGAGTTTCTCGTTCATTGAGATGAGAGATATGCTTTTCTCATTCGTTGAAGGGAGAGATATGCTTTTCTCGTTCGAGGGGAGAGATATGCTTTTCTCATTCGTTGAGGGGAGAGATATGTTTTTCTCGTTCGAGGGGAGAGATATGTTTTTCTCTTTCTTTGAGGGGAGAGATATGCTTTTCTCGTTCGTTGAGGTGAGAGATATGGTTTCGTCGTTCATTGAGGAGAGAGATATGGTTTCGTTGTTAGTTGAGGAGAGAATGGTTTCCTCGTATATATGATTTTCTCGTTCATTGAGATGAGAGATATGATTTTCTCGTTCATTGAAGGGAGAGATATGATTTTCTCTTTCGAGGGGATAGATATTTTTTTCTCGTTCAAGGGGAGAGATGCTTTTCTCATTCGTTGAGGTGAGAGATATGTTTTTCTCGTTCGTTGAGGGGAGAGATGCTTTTCTCATTCGTTGAGGTGAGAGATATGGCTTCGTCGTTCGTTGAGGAGAAAGATATGGTTTCTCGTAGATATAGTTTTCTCATTCGATGAGGAGAGGGATATGGTTTCCTCGTATATATGATTTTTTTCGTTCAATGAGGAGAGAGATATAATTTTCTCGTAGATATGGTTTTCTCATTCGTTGAGGGGAGAGATATGGTTTCGTCATTCGTTGAGGAGAGAGTGATTTTCTCGTAGATATGATTTTCTCGTTCATTGAAGGGAGAGATATGATTTTCTCGTTCGTTGAAGGGAGAGATATGTTTTTCTCGTTCGTTGAAGGGAGAGATATGCTTTTCTTGTTCGAGGGGAGAGATATGCTTTTTCTCGTTCGTTGAGGGGAGAGATATTGTTTCGTCGTTCGTGGAGGGGAGAGATTTGGTTTTCTCATTCGATGAGAAGAGATATATGGTTTCCTCGTAGATATGATTTTCTCATTCGATAAGGAGAGAGATATAGTTTCCTCGTAGATATGGTTTTTTTAGTTCAATGAGGAGAGAGATATAATTTTCTCGTAGATATGGTTTTCTCGTTCATTGAGGAGATAGATAGCATTTTCTGGTAGATATGGTTGTTGTTTTTCGATAATCGGCCAGGGAAATCCTTTTTTTTTTTCGGTGAGAGGAAATCTGGAAATCTTTTTTTTTCGGTGAGAGGAAATCATTGACGAGAAGTTGGAAGAAAATAAAACCGGTAAAATAACAAAGAGAGAGAATTGTTGAATGCTTAAAATTAAGTGTTTTAAAATCTTCTGAAAAAGATTGACCTTTTTAAATATAACTTATTCTAAAAATGGATAGAGAGTGGCCAAATTTGTGTCAGTCCATACAAAATTGTCATTTAAAACTTTGGTATTCTATTCTTTGTCAAATGGTCAAACATAGGTATTCAATAACTAATGAAATCGTGTGAATCTAAATAAAGAAAAAACTCAGGTTTTATTTAACAATCTCCTCCTAAAACCTGTGGTATATCTACCTTATTTTGTTTGTACTCCGATTTGAGCCCTATGGCTCGGTGTCCCTGGCGGCATGTCCTCCAGACCATCATGTTCGGCCACCTCTTCTTCGAGTTGGCGCGCCGCCAGTCCAGGTGGTTCACCTCTTCCTAATAGGTCTTCCATCCTCCGGTACCTGGCCGAGAGGTTGACTGGTTGCTCTATCTCCAACTCTAGGATGTAAAGGCAGTTTGCCGTGCACCGAACTTGCGTGAGCAACCGTCGTCGATCATCGCGGATCCTAAGTAGCCCGCGCTTGATGGAAATGTGGCAGCCGGCCTTATTGAGTTGACCCAAGCTCACAATATTAGCCTTGAGCCTCGAGATGAAGTAGACGTCGGTCAGCTTGTGATGTTTGCCTCCCTTGCCGACGAACAGGATGGTGTCGTGCCCTTCGATCTCGACGACGGAGCCGTCACCGAATTTCACCGTCCCGCGAATCCCCGAGTCAAGCTCGGAGAACTCAAACTTGGCCCTGGTCATATGGTTTGTTGCCCCCGTGTCGAGGACCCATCGCCGGTGCTCTTGCTGCTCGCCTCTTTCACCGATTTGAGCGAACACTCGCTCCTCCTTCAGTTGAATTGGCTCCCCAGCCGGTGCCTTTGTTATGCACAATTGGAGCTCTTCCTCGGGTTCGACGCTCACCGGAGTAGTTATGCCGTCGTCGATTACCTCTGTGGATTTGGGGAGCTCTTCCTCGGGTTTGACGCTCACCGGAGCAATTATGTCGTCGTCGATTACCTCTATGGATTTGGAATCGGAATTAGGGACATCAGGTAGGACTGATGCAGTCACCATGAAAAGGGTCGGCTCGTCCTCCTCGGATTGAGCCACATGGGCCTTCTCGAGCGTCTCCTTGTTCCTGAGCTTGCTCCAGCAATTCTTGCTCAGGTGATCTCTCTTCCCACAATACGAGCACTGGATTGGCTCGTCATCAGTCGGCTCCTCCTTCTTTTGATCCTCCTCTTTCCCGCGCATGTGCCGGCGAGATTTCCATGGCTTCTTACCGCCTTTGCGGCTGGAAGGCCCATTGCTCTCGCCGGTGTCGTCACAGAGCTTTAGGCATGCAAGCCATTCCTCTTCAGTGAGGAGTAGACGACCCTCCTGGTCGACAGCTGAAACGATATTTTTCTTCCGCTGCTCGATGTTACGCAGTCTTCCGATCACCTCTTCCACCGTTAGGTCGTTCACGTCAAGCAATGTCTCGATCGAAATCGCAACTTGCTCGAGGTGATCGGGGACGACCTGCAGCATCTTCTTCACGATTTCTGTCTCGCTGATGCTGCCACCGAGAGTGGTGATGCTGTTGGCGAGCCCCGTGATCCGCATTGAAAAATCATCGACAGATTCGCCGTCCTTAAAGCGAATCTCCGAAAGCTCTTTCCACAGCTGCTCGATGTTGGATTCCCGCACTCGCTGTACACCGACCCGCCGGGATTTGATTCCCTCCCAGGCCGACCCGCCGGGATTTAATTCCCTCCCAGGCCGATTATATTAGCTATTATAATCTCAGACCATATTCAAAAAAAATTTCTCAGACAAATAAACAAGTAACCCATCAAATAGATTTTTTTTAATTATTATCACTTAGTCTTGTAAAATATTTTGTTTTAAATGAGATGATTTTTTTTTTTTTTTTTTTT